CATGTAGCCGCGCATTTTTAACTCATGTAGGTACCTAACCTGCCGTAGGAAGAATATAAGATTCGAATAGGCTAGGTACATGTAGGTACGTTTTCTACATACCTGTACCATACATCACCCCGCGCTCCCCGAAGCAGCTAGCGGAAATGCCTTCAATATCCGCGGGACATACTATATCAGGTCAAAGTAACATCATCGGCCTTACCATCACTATCGCTGTATAGCATGCATCGACCTATAACTTACCTAGGTAGGTATGTAGTTAGTTCCTCTTTCAACTAAGGGGAAGCAGCTCGCGATGCCGGATTACGCAGTTCTATATGTCTAATGTATAATGTATGCGCATGTGTATATGAGTACACACGTTCTCTTGTTTTCACATGACCAAAATTCGGGAGATGGTGGGATTCATTAATTCGCTGGCTTGGGTGGTTTTTTTTTTTTCCTTCCCTCTCTTCGCAAAGTCAAACCCGCTGTATGTAAGATTTTTCATCCATCTCACACCGGGTTGTTTAGTCAGCTATAAGAGCCCTCCTATCCAATAAGCCGGGGATCTCACTGTCGACTATGTTACACTACACGTAGAACGTCAAACCATAAGCCTCGTTGTGACTTCGACCTGATAAATCCCGCCCTCGCCCTAATGCTCACTCTAGCCCTGTTTTTATGCGTTCGCCAGCACCAACCAATTACCCATAACTCCGATGTGTCACGGAAACAGTATACTGGGTACGTCACATACCCTCACAATGGCTCTACGTCGTAGTCAGATCTTGCAACCCACGTTCGATGGAACTCATCCAACCCCCCTAGGTAGCACGTCGGGATGTTGCCTCAGAGGGTTACCTTAGCATGGTGTTATACCTACGGATACCTAGTCACCTACCTACATCCGCACGTAATGTGACCCCCGGACCCGTTCGCAGGACTACGCTGCGTGGGTATAGAGGAGTATTATAGTCCGGACGATGAAGTGCCTCCCTAGACCAACCAATAAATGGGAGCGCCGGTTCAGGAATCAGATATGGACAATCATCCTTGGCGAACCGTGCCGGTCATTGCGAACCGCGCCAGACTTTAGCAAGCTCCGGCTCACCTTACCTCGAGGATGTAGCGTAGGTGTACGCCAATGGTTCCTGGACTACTACTACTATGTTCTACGGAACTATATTCTCTCCGATGGAAAACAGGAAACCGTAAACATGTAACCTTTGGTCGAGATTCTATATTGTTTCTAGGCTCAAACGATATATACATATATATGAGCACTTTTACGCGAGGTACATTGGAAACAGGACATGGCCACCGGTAAGGCCATCTCTAGTTACCGATTCGGCAATTGCTGTAGGGTAGGGGGTAGGCGGCGAGGGCCGACCGGTGAGGGATAAGACCAATACGTTTTCCGAGTATGTGCCGTCTGCTAGCTTCAGATTATGACTGGTCTTCAGTGCTTGAAGCGCTCTGCTAGGAATCCTTTTTGTACGCCTTACCTTGTCCAATCCCAGACCTTGACTCTGAGAATTTATATACCTCCCTGAGGTATAGAAACGGACGGATGGAAAGGTACATTGTCATATTTCAAACATCGTACTCAGACCGGTCTTGGTGCTGCAGGCAGTCAGACCAGAGCAGCAGCAGCAGCAACAGCACGTGTGGCAAGATAATATTAATTGATCTGAATTTCAAATCCATACTTAATAGACTTATTAATAAGTAAAAACCGTTGTCGTTCCATGTCGTGTCATTGCCCCATGCACATGTCAGTGCTTTGCCCAGACCCTTGATTCCCAAAGCAGCTTAAGGTAGTCCCTTCGCTTTAAATTCCTATTGCTTTGTTTCTGTTTTTTTTTTTAAAAAAAAAAACTAATTGTTCTTCCAAACTAGACCAAAATATTTTTTTTCGTCTTCTGTCCGTTTTAGATTCTTCTATATTCCTTGTGTATATCGAACCACGCATATGTACATAAATATTTGTATGAGTATGCTAGGTAGGTACATGTTCGACATATGAATACGGTATACATATAGGTACTTACCTCTTACACAATTACACATCTTCAATGTACTTCTTATTTTCTTGCGTACATTTGATGTATCTAGATTTGACTGTAAAGGTAGTTTTGACCCGACCTTCTACAGAAGGAGAAACAGGTCAGACGCGGTCACCGTTCAGGCAGTTACGTCTAACCTACCTAAAGTAGACATGAAGTACGAATTATCAAGTACCTTCCGTACCTTCCCCCGAGTGAGTTAAGTACCTAGGTACATGTAATTCAGTGTATTAGGTATTAAGGTTAATTAGAAGTGACAACCTTGGAAAGTTGAAGTCAAAAAAAAAAACCCCCCGATCAGGTCGAGCCTTGTCGCAAAACATCACTTTCTTCTCATAAATCTCGACACTTCCCCTGTCATCGAAAATTCTCGGACAACGCGCCTGTTCCACCCCAACTCCTTCATGTCAATCACCTCACCCAAGATCAAGTCCTGTTTCTAGTCTAGTTTCCTAACTACCCGTCCCTGGTTTTGGCAATGCTCCTAGTGCCGAGTTACATAGTATGGACCTAACGGGAACACTGCCGACCGTTCGTCATAGACACAGGGTAGACGATATGATAGAAGCCGTACGTACATATTATTTGAGCCTCCCTTATGGCTTTCAAGCTTGCAACGACGTCCCGTCGAGTAACTAGTTACACATCACATTTACCCCCCCTACCCTCTCCACCTCCACCGCCCATTGACTGTTTTCACTCTGCTACAAAAGATAACTTCCGCCTCGCCTAGTCTGCTTGACTCTCTACCAGTTCTAGACTACAAACAGGCTGCTCATAAACATCTTCCCGTCACAAACCCACATTTGGCAAACAATAAATAACCCAACGCTTTCTCTGGTTGGACCTCAAGGTCATCTCTACCTATTCACTTGTAGCCTGTCAACTATTTAAAGTCTCTCTTCCATCACCTCTTGAGTCTCCCTCCTCGACACTCTTCTCTATATTCACTAGTCATATTCTTCATTCATTACACCCAGCAGCATCCACCACGCCATCTTGTCAACTAATCCTTACCTCTGTATCGGTACTTGCACAAGTAAGTATCCTACTATTTAAATCCCGACTCGTTGGTTATGCGGTTAACACCACCTCTAGGAAAGACTAAGCAAACCCACTACCACCCAAGCTGTCCAGCACTCTTATCCACAGCGTCCAAAAAAGTCTTCTAGGACATATTTTTGATCACATCTTAAGACATGGCCGTGGGAAGCAACTGTGCGCACTCTTTCAAGATGCTGAAGTCAGACAGCACGCTTGTCCAATGGACCTGTAATTTGTGTCACTCGGGCCCGCACTGGTGGATTTTCGAGTGTAGATACTGCAAGATCCACACGTGCCGGGCTTGTGTCCACAATGTCTAAGCACGGGGAGGATCCGGACCGTGCTGTTCTGTTATTATTGGCCTTTTTCATAGATGTAAGTGGGAAACTCGTATCTGTCACGTCTCATATGTCATTATCTAGGATTTCAATATGACAGAAGAAATAAGCAAAGGGCTAACAGGGCGCTCATTTTAGTCCCAGAACCTTGGTCCCGGCTCTTTTGAAGCTAAGCTTCACTTTTTTTCAATTGGAGGGAACCTCTTCATCCGGCGTTACGGGACAGGATTTACATACGGAAAAAAGAATAACGAGGTTCTCGAACCCCGACAGGAAAAAAGATTCGACACACACGCAATGGCCATGGATATCCGGAAGTTGTTACCGGGGGCCCCTTGTCGACAACGCTAAGATCCTGCAGGTGGTGGCCAAGACAGCCATAACATCATCCTATTGGCCTAAACCGTTGTCTTCTCAGTGACATTTCCAGCAGTCCCTCAGGTACATTTTCAGCCACTCGATGAAGCCACAGCGTATCCCGGTCCAATATGTTTAGATCCCGATGAGATAGATCACTTCCCGACAAACCGTCACACCGTTGTCATAGGCTGTACGCGGCACCACCTTAGCCCTGTTTGACGGCAACTCATGATTATGATTTCCTTCCTGTACCCCAATAGACGATGTATTTTGCGCAGGTTTCTGGTGTCTTCCCACACGGGCATGGATTAGCCCGATTTTTCCGTTTCCTACTGTGGTCGTTCCCGGAGTTTCGAGGCATGCTGGAATAGCATTGCCAATTAGGTCGGCGTCTGCGCATGATAGAAATATCCCCTTTCTTTTTCACAATGGAAGGTACAATGGAACAAGTTAAATTACGATTGGAACTTGACAGGTGGGGGATTTGGGGACTGGCAATGGTTAAGTGCGTGTTTGCAATGGACCATGTTTCATTATCCTTTTTATCTCGTACAAAGTTACAAAGGGCACCCTTCCAACATGGTCACAATATGAAGGTAAACAACCAACCAGCTGGGTTACCTTGGTCCGTGTTTTCTCCTTTCCTGTTACATGGGTTTTTGGTTAGGCGTGAAGGGAAGAAAAAAAAGGAAAGAAAAATAAATTACGGCAAAAGAGGACTAGTACGCAAGTACGCCAAAAATCTGATTCGTGTTTATTACTCTCAAATAGAAAATTCACATTGTTGGTTTCGGAGATAGAAGTTTTAGGCAATCTAATAGTGATGCCACGTTTCAATAGATATTGGTTCCTATGAGGTTGGAGAAAGATCAGGTAAGATCAGGTAAGATCAGGTTAGAAATGAAGTCAAAGTTGAGGCTGCTACGTGCAGCCCAACGGGGGTAACGGGGGCAAGGGGGGCAAGGGGGACAAGGGGGGAGCTGAGATTTAGGCAGGGCTACATGCAAACGCTGTGCGACGTGGGGGACACGCGTTTCTTTCGCACACGCGGCGGTCTGCAAGGTCCCGTCGTCTTCTGGAACGTTTGGAATATCTATTGGATCCATTGGGTTATTATGGAAAGACGGCGTGGCACATACCGTTTGTACGCGGCAGCCAACGTTGGGGAAACACAACAGCCAGCCTTGATGAGGGAAATATCATTGCATCACCATTGCATCACAATCATTATATATTATATATTATATATTATATATGCCATGCATGATTGCCATATATACCTACATGCTTTATCAACTCAGCTTGTCCTCCCTCTCAAGCCAAAGCAAGGCAAGGCAAGGTATAAAAAAAACAAGGCAAGATAAGACAATAACTAACCTCGCTGCGGCTACAGCTACAGCTACACACAAAATCGTGACGTGCAACGTGGGACCAAACTTCGCCTTACTAGCGACGTCCCGGTATTCCTCAACCGCTCTCTTCCCGGAAATCAAGTTTGAACCGGCCGGATGTAACTAGAATCGCGATCCGACGGCCTCGTACGTAAGCCAGTTATCCGATCGATACCTGTTACTTGGGCTTGGGCTTGGGCTTTCTGCAGCTGCTTTGCTTGTCTAAGCCCCTGACACAATTCAGACGTCGCTGGCTCCATTCCAGCGCCTCTTCTCTTCGAATGCTTGCTCTCACTTATACGCACTCCCTCTCCTTACTACACGACCTGTCGGTCTGCCCAACAACACCCTCCTGTCCTATCTTTCTATTGTTGCGCACACCCGCCGTCATACCGGCGGCCGGCCTCACTTCGGCCAGGCCCACGTGTCTCGCTCGTTGATGCGTCTCGTCACCTTGACCTCGTCCCCCACGGCGACGTCAGCTTCCAGCTCCTCCTGCCCTCCACCGCCACCACTGCTACTGCTGCTATTTGTAGGCGGTAGCAGAAACGCGTACCGCCCGAAGATGGGCGACCATTTGTTGCCCGTGTCCACGCGGCGATCCTTCATCAGCTTCTTCAGCACCGAGCCCAGCTCGCCCGAGGCCGGCCGCCCCGCCGTGTAGTCGACGTTGATGGAGACGCAGCGCGCGCAGTTCGCCGTCAGCGCAAGTCGGTGCGAGGATCCTACCAAAAGCTCCGCCCAGAAGTCCTCGTCCCATGCGGCGAGTATCGACGGCGTGTCGTCGTCGCCGTCGCCGCCGCTGTCTTCCGAGCCGGAGGACTCCTCCCACACCTCGTCGACTACGATGTTGGGTCGGAACTTGATCATGTCCATTTCCTGGCCGTCGGGCAGCCGCGCGCTGACGTTACGCAGGGAGGCCTTGGATGTCAGGAGGAACGGCGCTGCTTCGTTGAAGACTAGTCCGGAGGCCTCTTCTTTCGGCGGCTGCTGCCCGTAGTAGGGCACGAAAGACGTCAGGTGCGAAAACCAGGATTGCGTCTGTGGCTGCTCGGGCTGCGGCGCGTGCGCTAGCACCGAGCGCCGGTTATCGCCGATGTAGACGAGGATGGCGCGGTAGCCTAGACACGCGGAGAACCAGGAATCGTAGGTATCGCCCATGCGATAAGTCGTGGTGGAGCTGCTGAACAGCTTGATGTCGACGGTTTCGAGGCCGGCGATAGCGGGGTTAAGAGGTACGCGTAAGGCGGTATACTGCTCCGGAGGAGGCGGAACCACTAGCGGGTGTTCCGGGATACGGTAGGTGACGACGACATGGCCATCGTCGATGGCCTGGTGGAAGAGTGCGCACTCCGGGAAGTGAAATACCTGGATGTTCTTGTACCCTCCGCCGGCCTCGACCTTAAGCAGCATAAAGCGCCGGTCATACCGGAGCCCCTCGCGCTGCAGCAATGCCCTGTCTAGGGATACTGGGCGCAGGGATTTGATGGGGTAGATGTACAGCTTGAGGGGCGTGTAAGGAAGAGGATGGATGAGTAGGGAGACGGGTAATTTGACTTACCTCTGTGATTTGTAGCGTCTTGTGACCCATCTTTGCGATTCAGAGGATGCAAAGGCTTGAGTACCCGGTTTCTATTTCCCCCTTTTGGAGCCTATATTATGTGAATATTTCCCAAGCAGGTATAAGTATAGGTAGGTAGACGATCTTCTTCTACAAGCTGAAATGTATATGTACCAAATCAGACCAGCACGTAACGTATTCCTATTAACTAAGTGGTCTGATGTTGACGTGCCTTGCTTGCTAGCCAGCTGAGAACTATAGCAGACGGTAGACCAAGGATTAAACAAGTCTAGTTCTGCCACTCGGAGTTTTGAGCCAGGCTGGCTAGCGATTGATTAGTCGGGCGTAAGAAGAGGTTGTGCATTATAGTTCCATCGATGGCAGCATGCGGGGGAGAGCAGAGCAGAGCAGAGCAGAGCCTCATTATAGGTTAGGTTGTTTTTTTAATGACTGGCGAAGCGATCCTAGTTCGGCAAATGGGCCGCTCGGGACCGGCATGCGGGGGAGCTGAGCTGAGCTGAGCTGAGTTAGTACATACCAGTATGCAGACAAAAAGAGGATGTATTATTGTTCGGAGAGAGGGGGGGGAGGGGAGTGGCGCACGCATAAAAAATCGCCGAGGCCGTCGTGCGCCCGCGCAGCCAATAAATACCATGGCGGATCAGCAGTCCGATACGGAGGCGCACTCCCTCTAGGTACTCGAAACGTGATATGTCGGCGAAAGGCTGCGGTCATCGCCGTCGGATATTCCGAGTGCCTATAGATTACTGGGGGGTTTTTTGCGTATACTCTGTTTCATAGGGGATAAGCCTCGCTATGTAGAAATCGTGTGGGAAAATATATATATACCTACCTAAGGCATCCACTGTAGTATGTAGGTATATAGGTAGGTAGTATGTATCCTACCTGTGACCGGGTACGTGGGCTAGTTGGTATTATACTACGAGGTACCCAACATTGATCGTATCATGAATCACGAATCACGCAAAAGAGGCAGCAGTCCGGGACCTTTCCTTTCCGACGCGCTCGGTGCTTGATTTGTAATGGTAGAACGACCGCGGCGCGGCGCCGGCGGAGAGTTTTCCCACTCTGGGCGATCAGCTCCTACGGCGCAGCCCCTCGATATACCTAGTTCCCGTAACGAGAAGGTCTAGGGAGAGAGGGTAATATTTTAGATGGCTGATGCTGAAGTTCCTATACGCCAGCCTGGTCTAGCTTCTCCCCCCCTTTTTAGCTAGCTAGTATAAAATCGCACCCCCTTCCCCTTAAAAGCCGGGTCGGCGAGCTGAGACCCCGCTATCACTGGTGATATTACTGTCGAATTCGTAAGGATTTGTACCGGTAAGTATAACATTTGTGATCAGACGATAATATTGCATGATCCTTCCCGCTAGGCTCCCGGGGAGATGCGGATTACGTTAAACTTGGAAGGGGTGTTGTCTTTACCGGGTATGCCGTACCAATATTCAGACTATCACTTGCATTAGATAGCTAATAGCAAGGGGAAAGGCATGGAAGGCTTTTTAACTAATATTGGAAATGTCAACGTACTCTCTAATGTAATTTATTCCTTAAGCATAGTACCCTCGTCGTCCTAAGTCCAATATAAAATAGTCAGATAAGCCGTATTGCCGGCTGTAAAGTATATAATTCAACTTTGTATATACCCCTCGACCTCGTCTAGTTTAAGATATATACCTACATAGGTACCTGATATATGCTTTAGAATGTGTATTTGCAAATCATGTCCCGATCCATAGCTTACAACGCCCATCCCCTAAGGCACGAGACTACTTTCTATTTAGAGCGGAGCACCCATAACAACGAACGCCTATAGAACACACAGCCTAGTATGGTAAGAAGGGGAAAGGCTTGTTATTAGATATATATAGGTAAGCACTAAGGTTATTTTTAGTTACAGATACCCTCAAAGGACTCTAATTAGCGTGCGTAGTCTACGTGGCCCTCTTACGACCGCATTTCTTCGTCGAACTAACCTTTAACCTCTAGTCTCAGCGCATCGTACTGGACATATACGGAGTTAGGCAGCACCGCGCTCTCGTAGTTGGTCGCGTTGAACGGCAAGCTCAGGACGATCCTATTCTCACCCTCCTTGAGTAGAGCCGGGTCGAAGACGAACTTGTTCGCGATGTTATAGCAGATTACTGCGGAGCGCACCGCGCACGAGCTGCTCTGATGCCACCTATCGAAGCTGTTAACAATTCCGAAGACAACGAACTTCCTAGGTAAATCCAGACGGATAGATTAGGCACTCACGGGATAATCCAGGGCTCGAGATCCTTCCCATTCACGCTGACGGTATACGCCAAGTTGGCGTGGGGCTCGGAAGCGTTGAAGACATCCGTGTTGCCCGCGGCAGTCTTAGCCCCAGCTAGCTGGACCGTGAATGTCGCCTGCTGCTTCTGGTCGAGCTGGGACTGCTCCAGGTCGAACACGATAGTCCAGTTGTTCACGTTGCCGTCGCCGATATACGGCTCGGAGCGAAGGTAGTCAGCATAGCCACCGAAGACGCTCCAGTGCACGTAGTTCAAGTCCTTGCCCACGTCGCTCTCGCCAACCTCGAACGTGACGCCCTCTGGGAAGTCCTCGACAAAGTCGTGCGCGGCCCAATATACCCTGTACTGCTCAGGATGGAGCGGGTGTGTCGGATCGCGCTCGTAACCGTGCCGGTATTCACCGCTACTCTTGTCAGGCGTGCCTATGCGGAATATCTCCTCTCCCTCGCTTTCCTCTTCCCATTTAACCTGAGTTGTCTTTACTTTGCCGGTACGCACTTCTACATCGTCCTGGACGTACTGCCCGAATATACCATCGGCATAAATCGTAAGCCGATACGTGTCCTCCTTCACTCGGGGGATGGTGGCATGACCGCTCTCGTCGATCTCGACCCAGTACTGGTAAGCCTTGGTGTCGAAGGCGTTATCCTGGAAATCGACCCCGTTTTGCGATAGTACGGCAATGGGGTTTTTGGCGTTCTTAGGCAGATCTACTTGCAGCTCCCAAGTCGCGCGCTGCTTGCTGGAGACGTAGTTAGGCACGTATCGTGCGATGGAATCGTAGAACTCGGTATTCCATTCCGGATCTGCGAACTGCGTGGCATCCTCACGGAGAACCTGGAGGTCGGTTCCGGCAGGGAAGTGATTAAAATAGAAGTATTGCTGATCCGGTCAACATAGGCGTGGGGGTGCGAGATTGCGTCTTTAACTTACTGGGCCAAATGTTCGGTCAAACCCATTGGTCATGTTTGGCTATTAAGTTGTTAGTACCTTAGTACATCTCGATGATGAATGTCAACTTACCGTTTGGTCTCCGTGATGGTTCGAGACTGTAGTTTGAGTTAGTGTCTTAATTTGGGTTCATGACTGGTTATCAACTAACCCATATAATCGTATACAATCCCGTCGACTACCAAGTCAGAGTGTAGAGGGCCTCCGAAGTAGGTTTCCTTCGTGTTCATAACCATCCACTGTAGAAATACAAGTCAGAACTTATGTCTACAAAGTATATTTCCTCTATCATCTCATCCCAAGTCACAAGACTTGTATGCTCACAACCGATGAACTTTCAACTGGTCATCTACTTACAGCTCCGAACGTAGAATTGTCCGCAATCTGGGACCCATCGGCATACCTATCAGGCCATGTCAGTTTACAGCTTATTTAGTTGATCGGAACTCAACTAACATCCCATGAGCGTCATGATTTCTCCAAGTATCCTGGAAGGTATACTTGGTGAAGTAGTCTGCCTCCTGCTGGACATACGGGTCATTAGGCGTGTTACCCATGTACCACGTAGCATCTGTGACACTCGTAGTTAGTATTTTCCGAGTGCGAGGACTTCACGTGCGGAAGAATACGAAGTCATGTTTCGGGCGTCCCCGAAACATTTTCTCCCCGAACCTCCGGCTTGCGGGACTGTTCAACCTAGACTTTATTAATTGCTCACCCTGTACGACAACCTGGTTCTTCTTGGCTTCCTTACCGGGAAGCGGTGCATACTGGACTCCGTTGGTCGCGAGATGCGTCCATATATCCGAATTCGGACGGAACAAGGTTCGAAATTCTTGTAAGTTGCGCAAAAACGGAGTGGTCTCGTTGTGGTACGCAATACGTGAAAATACGTGTAGGCCTGTCTCTCCGTCTCTGAGGAACCAATATTGCTCGAGAACTTGGCCGGTAGGGGTGTATGTGTCGGACATCTTGATACCGCCGAAGCTTGTCCCCGTCGAGTCTGTTCCGGAGTATAGCTCATATGTCGGCTGTGCTGATCCGGGTGTCCAGAAGCCCTTCGGGGTACTTGATTGGGCTCAGCACGTTACGTTACTTTGTAAATGTTTCATAGTATTACTTACCAGTAACAATCTAAATTGAATATGCCGGTAGATCCTGAGCGGGTGCCGAGGAGGTTCTGACCATCCAACACGACGGCATCCATGGCACCAGAGGCCTTGTCGACACGTGTGTATAGTCGGTCATTCTGGATGACGAGCTGGGTTTCATTCTCGGTTGCTACCACTTCCGCGTAAGCACTCCTGGAAAGAGATAAGAGAATGAGACATGACCGAGATACTATCCCGGACAACATCTTGACTCAACTTCAAGATTCGGACGCGTGATACAAGAGCATATTAGCCTACCTTGTAAATATTATTTTAATGAGGTAGCTTGTTTATATTGTCGATCTTCGGAAATGTCTTAAAGCGAATTCCTCAGACTAGGGGGAGCTCTATCCATATTCAAGTAATTATTCCGCCTACTAAACTCGGAGACTAGGGGAAGAAAGTATGAATGCGGGGGAGTTTGTGGGGTGAGATCTAATATTAATCATGGAGGCTCGATTAACGGCACATGGCTGCGGAGAATCAGGTTGGAGAGAGGTCATGGGTATATTCGGTGTTCGGTACAAGACATAGCGAGGTAGCTGGCTGGAAAGAAAGGCTCAGGTGAGTTGTCGACTTTGACTTTGTGATCAAGAAGCTATCGTGACTTTAATGACACTCTAGTGAGTGAAACGAAACTCAGCTTTTGATATGTTTCTTGGCCTGAAAATAACCTTCAACGATGTGCTATCTTGTTGTGGGGATTCTAAGCTGTATTGCATGGGGGGAAGCTGAAAAGGGCAGCTGTAGATCATTCGAGATGGCTGGTGCAACTGATATTTTGGAACATATGACCTATAGAGACGGGTTTAATAGGTGTTACACTTGGCTTCGTAGTTCAGATGATTTTAGCTGATATTTGCATAGTGATGCCATATTCCCTTTTAGACCCCCTGTCACTCTCGGCTTGTTTCCAGCTTGGTTCCAGTCAGCTGGATCTGGGTAGCAATTAGCAGTTGAGTGATTTGTTGAAGAAAAGGACGACCGGAAGCATTAATGATATTGGTTTTAATCAGGACTCATGACTGCCGCTGCATGTATGTGTTTATACGTGCTTATATGCTGCCTGTCGTAAGGCATACACACATAGCATACACATAGCATACACACATGGCATACGCATATAACAGATATAGACAATATACACAT